CTTCCCCCCGAATGAATTTTTCCCGCGGGGACACCTCCTCCCGCCAAAAAGTTGCTCCCCAACGAACACTATGTTACACAGAATGTTTTATTTAGGTATGGCAACTGTTCGCAGAAGAAGGTGGAATGAAAATGTATAAAAGAGAAGTTGAAATTGATGGATTAGTTTGTGACCCGTTAAAAGCAGTTCATATCGTCGATGTTAGTGTGATAAATTCATTAATTAGATTTCATTAAGCGTTATCAATTTGTATTGATTGCTGCATCACTTGAACGAAGATTGAATTCATAATTAGGTTCACTGAATTTTATCGCAGTTGAACATCTCACTTTCATGTATCATTCAGTGTCAGACTGTGCTGGTTGCTATATTAATTGAAATCGTCATCTTCCTTCCATTTGGTTTTCGTCATCCAATGTTGAATATTTTTCACCGTATTATTGTTTTCATCCAGTCACAGCCTGTATCTACATGTCTGTTAGCTGATTTCCGGTTTCAGGGTGTGTCTGCACGAGAATTCATTCATTTCTTTTTCGAACCCAAATATAAGATGACGTGGGATGGTTAGTCGTTTTGACGTGTATTTTTTGTTTATCGTTATATTGGTTTGATGGCATTGCTTGCGAATCTGTGACGTTATGATCAGTGATGGTACTGTACCACCTTTTCGGTCCTTACGTTTCGTCATAAAGTACTACAGTTCTGTGCCGTACCAAACTCCCAAAATCGCAAATGTACTGTATTGTACCAAGCTGCTGAATTTCCAAGAACAAATGTGTTGTGCTGGAGTACATCCGAAAAGGTACACTATACTCGTACTATACGAATAGTTTCCAAGAGAACGTAAAAGACGAATACATCGGTGAGTCAGGAATTATGCGTGATTTCACCGTAACATTAAGGCCTGGTCCTCTTCTCACATGTGAACGAGTATGCTTTATTCTTGTGGAAAGTTTGAGTTGGATCTTGCCATTCTCTTCAGTTTAACCGTTGCATGACAATTTTCACGGAAAAGTAACACAAGAACGCTGGTGAAATGTTTTCAGTTTCATTTTCTTGTCTTCTGCGTCCATAGACGTATGATTTATATTTTGCTTATGAGCTTGGTTAAAATTTAAACTCATTGTCTTGTTTTGTTGTTGTTACATTGTGAAGATAGCCTTTTCATTAGCATTGTGAATTTTCACCAGGTCGGAGTTTAACCAGCCTATTTTAAAATGTATCGTTCACGCATGCATCATTTTACATTTTACATGCTGCATTCAAAGTTTGCAATTGATCGCAAACACATCCCGGACAAAGAACGTGTACCAGTGCTTTTATGATATTTTTCCACGTAAATTGCCACTGCATTCGCCATACTTTCAGCTGCGGATTGAACGTAAAATTAATCCGACTGGGTGCAAACATTCCGTAAAGATGCAGAAGAGTACGAGTTATATTTAATAATAAGACGGGGTAACTAACCGGATTGTATTTTATGGGAAATGTGCAGATAATTTTAAGCTCATTTTAAACTTTTAAGTTTTCCGCAGACTGCAACAATAAATTTCGCCAATTACAGAAAATATTTTTTGATGATACTGGGCACATTATTCTGTACTTCTTGAAATCAGTACACAATGTTGTGTAAGTGATCTTTTGGAAACTTTTATGTACGTTGCCGTACTTTTTGCTTTGCATCCTAGTGCAATTGCGTACTGTAAGTAGGCACTTTATAGAAAGTACGTGGTGCAGTGACGTCACTGGTGCTAACAATAATGATACGCAAGAATGGATAGGCCTTAGACGAATTCTCATTTTGTAATGTGCATACCAATAACCTCAATGCGAATTGTCGAACTGAATTACGTCTTGAAATTTCAGAAACCGTCGAGGCGGTAAACGTTGTCGAATCATTATCAGATGATACCGTGATACTCCATCAGGTTGGAATTCAGCTTTTTCAGTATGTAGCATGTTCATATTTTTAAATTTGTTTTAAAGTAATTTCTAATCGACTCTTAAATTTGTTCACCAATGTAGTCGATTACTTCCTAAAGAAATGTTTGTATTGTTGAATGTTCGCAGTAAACAGTACATTCGCTCTTTGAATGTGGTGAAATGGACATCAAACGCTTTTGATATTGGTTGATCTGACTGCTTTGAATTTTATTCCATGTTGTTGAGCATAATCAACAAATGAGCCTGTTCATAGTTCATCAGTTCGTATTGCTGATTTCAGTGTAAGCTTGGCTTTATTTAATGAATACCGCAAATGCTGCTGATAATCAAAGACTTCATCTCAGAGTGATATACCAACTATTCCTTGTCGCATATAATTGCTGCACTGAATTCCAAATATCCTCCTAACATAAGTACTTCAGCAACATTGATTTAGGTCGATTTTGTCTTGGTAATGAAATATTTTAAGGTGCACAAAAGAGTGTGGCCCTCAGCTCAGCGTGAATCATTATTCTGGTCGCATGTGCGTGAAGTGAGTGCATATAAGGATGCAGATGCGTGTGATCTGTTCATAACGTGCAATCATGATTGTGAAAGACCCGATATACCTGTTTGTTACTCTCGAACGTTTTTTCAGTATTTCTGATGAATAGTAATTATTTTGTATTGCATACTTCTTCACTCCTAGCAGTAAAAGTCAATAATTTCGTGAGTCGCTGCAAATTGCTTGTAATTCTCTCAATCACGCAATTCAGCATAATTTCTGAAACGATTTTTCGAGGAGTTGTCGAGTTAATTGACTTGGAGAAATTTTGTGATACTGGCAGGATTTTTTTAAAATACTGTAATCAGATTCTAAGCGGCGAATAAAATCAGATTAATTTTAAACTTGAAAGGTGCTTTGATGATGATAAGATATGAATTTAGTTGAAAAGTACCAGTAACGTTCGCGTTGGATTAACAATAGCAATGGTTTGTGAAACGGTGATCAAGGAAGGTTGTAATAAGGCAAAACATCAGCTGAATCGTAATGATATATACTGTCGAGTCATTTATGTTGCTCAAGGTTATTATAAGATGTTCACATATTTCTAAACACGTTTATCACAGCTGTGTGTTCCTGTTCATAAAGGTGATATTGTATCAATGTGCTTTGCAGTGCATCCTGGTGGATGGGTTCCAAGTGCAGCGTTGCGTGTTATTTACAAACGCGAATATCCAAAATTCTTGAGAGGATTCACTAAATACGTTGTCAAGAATTTGAAATCACGTCAGTTGTGCATCTGAATCGTTGGTGTTTACATATGCTCGATAAATGTGGGTGTCCGTGATAAGAGTGACATATTCCATTTATACATTGCTGCCATTCGGAATTCGGCAATCCCAGGATTAGATTGAAAGTATGAAAGTTTGGTGGCAAAGCGGGTACGAAAGATGTCAACTAATTTTTCACCATCGTTGGAAAAAACAGCACTGGTAAAGCAGTCGTTTTTATTGTTCTACTTCAGTTGTCTTGTATGTTTTACGGTGTACTCTTATTGTTCATTGAGAAGCGTTTACCACCACCGACAATTCAGACACATTTCGGTTTAAGTTTCATTTTCCCCGGTTTTCTACTCGTGATTCTTAGCACTATATTCACATTTCGGATAGCAATGTTCCGGTTTCTGGGAATATCTAGAACGGGTACAAAACACTGGGATTGCCAAGCAGAATTTCGTTGCTAGCATAATTCACTTCCATGACGGTAAGATTTTTTACTGTATTGACTCGTAAGCATTGATATATGTATTGGGTGTAAAAGTATTCCAAGCCGAATTTTTTCAAAATTTTGATTTTTTTTAAACGGCATTCCAAAATTTTGATTTTTTCGAACGGTAAGAATCGTTTTTGGGATTGTGTTTGATCGTTTCTGAAGATTTCCCAATTATTCATAGTCATTTCTGGAATTGTTTGTAACAATGTCATTGAATGCGCGAACAATAGTGTTACTGAAACAGAGATACATCCCGAATAAATTTCGTCTTTTTTCACTCACTGCTTTACCTCATTCCCATTCCCAGTGATGTGTGACCTTGAAATGCAAACCATATATTGCTTGTTTTTTCTCGCATTCAGCACACTGAAGCTAAAATTCAGTCTCTGGAGCGCTTTCACTTCAGTCTCATAATGAAACAGTTTTCAGTATTTTCTTATGAATGTCATTATTGTGTCTTATTCGGGTGAAATATTGTTATGTGCTGAATGAATGAATGACATAATGAAACTCAGCTTGTAAAAATGTTCTAATTGCTCCTTTTTCAATATTAAATTCTTTCTCTCAATCGACGTTATCAGCATATTCTCTTGCGTAACAATATTGCTACCTGAAGTGTACTGAGTAAAGCAACATAACATATTATCACGTAGTGCATTAAAACGGTTCACACGAAACAACAAGAACAACAACAGAATCGACAAAAACGACACAATTCTTGCAATACAAAAGAAAGTTCTAATGACTATCAATACAGCTAAATTCACAAGTGAAAAAAATAGATTCAGAGCATAACGATCGCAAGTTGAATAGTCATCGTTACATCATCATATTTCAGTTGCTTGAGTCGCAAGCAGCAATATTCAGATGTTCGAATATTCATCTCAAAATGAATCATGCATTTTCTTGGATGTTCTCGTCTTTCCAGCATTCCCAAATACGTTTTTTTCAAGAGGTGAAAATGGGCGCATTTCGATTGGCTGCTTGTTTTTTCTTCTACAATTGATACTCATTACAGTTTGCATTGAAAATGCTGCATCACCAATTCTATTTAAATACGATGCGGTAAAAATGCGCTATATTCGAACATAAAATGTGTGCAACTTTGAAATATTTAGATTATATTCATTAAAACCTTGATTCTTCTGAATGTTTTATTGGTTGTTGTGAACATTCACTTGATTTCGTGGATGTGACTTCGNTATTGATATCTCGATTATTTAAAATTCCACACTTCTCTTGATTAACTTAATGGCGATGACTATCATAGAATTGTGCATTTTTGTGATAACTAATGAATATAATAATGCTTCGTTTGATGAGTGAGTACCTTTGCGATAATAACTTTTTAATATTGAGACGTTTATGTTTACGCACTGCGATTGGACGTCTTCCGACAACAGCATGAACTGGTGGCGCATAAAAACTCGATTGAATGTTACCCTCGATTTACTCTTAATTTCATTTTGACTTTGTTTATGCAGGAACACAAGTGCAATTTCATTCAATTAATCACTAAATCCGCATGAAATTTGTTCCCTCATATTCTTTTTTAGTGAAATTGATCAAGGAAGGCAAATTAACGGAACGAATATTTTTTGAAAATAACACTGATGGTTTGTATTGAGGTTGGCATAGAGACGGATTTTTCTCTTCGTATCCCGCACGGAAATGCTTTCCTCCTTCTCATCGAATACTACAATGCGCAGAACCCCTTCCCTCAACATAGTACCACCAGAGAGTTTTGTTCCTCCCTTTTCATAGACTACCAAATTACTCAGTTCCCCGTCCAGTTCTCACCCCCCCCCC